ATTACGAAATACTAATGCAGTGGCAGCACTATAGCTATTTTGGAATATCGCGTTTCAGTTCGCTAAAGCTGAAATTAGTCGAGAACGCAGAACGTACACTTAAACGCAGTCTGTATACGCAGAATTTTGTCGATTACTGGAGCCCTCAGTGTTGGTTACTACACTGTTGCCACTCATCAATGACTTTTTATAAACTTACCCTTTCAACTACAATTTTTCGTGCTATAATAGATTTTAGCTAAATATAAACTACTTAGTTTTCAACAAAAACCTTATTCAATAGTAAATTTCAAAAATAAAAACATATTTTGAATAGGAANATAAACTACTTAGTTTTCAACAAAAACCTTATTCAATAGTAGATTTCAAAAATAAAAACATATTTTGAATAGGAACTTATATCTTTTTTACCACCTGTAAAACTGACGAAGTGGCAACCATCTAAAGAAGGAGAAATCAGCTGACACGGAAAAATCTAAATTCCGCAGATTTCTGCGCTACGGGCTACAACTACAGAAAAATTCTCCGGTGTTAAGTTTTCATTTACATGGCGCTTTGGTAAGACAGATCGTGTCAGCTGACTCGGGTTTACGTACCGGTAGGTTTACGTTCTTGACTAATTGCAGCTTAAGCGCCCTGTCTCACGGTCAGTAATTATCACGATCGCGATCCAAATTGATGAATTGATGGATCGCGCACGAATGCTACATGCTCAATATTTATCGCGTCAGTATTTGCATAATTTTTGTGCTGAACGCTTATTATGATGCAAAAAAATATTTTTATTTTGTATGAATAATTTGCAGATAATGCATTCCACCATTATTTTAAAATTTCCCATGTTAATTAAAATTTTTTCAATTTGTTTTGAAAGGTTTTAAGCAACGAGAACGAAAGCATAGCGAATACGTTTTCGATGTTCGCATTATGAGAGTACAAGATTTACTGACGAAATGTATGGATCGCTCAATATTTATTGACAATATAGCGATCCGCGATCCAGATTTCAAAATTATTAGAAATTTTGCGATATGGATCACGATCCATCAATACTGCATGCTACACCGTCAATAAATATCGCGATACTTGGATCACGTCAATAAATACTGACCGTGTGACAGTGCCCAAAGATTGTCAACTTCTTTTTATACTATCCTATCCAAGGCATAACAAGGTAGAAGTGTTTTCGGCATTTCTCTCTTTTGAACTGCGACTGAAATGTCAACTCTTAACCCTATACTATTCAACATTTTTTTTTTAATATACATTTTCAATTATGAGCTGTGCGACTGATTTTAAAACATAATAAAATGAAAAGGAATTGCGAGCGGTGCGTTGTGTTTGTCAAGAGCCTGGACAACAAACTTGTGGGTTATTTTAAACCTTCGAATTGTCAAGTGAAGCGACAACGGTGGGCAAATTGCTGCGATGTTGCATAAGGAGACTCTTCACGTGTGGTCGTGACTTTATCTGTTGTCTATCGCAGCCCAGTATTTCTAAGTGGACGCGTTTGGTCCCAGGTGCAGGATTTATCATACCGAATATGAAAAGAAAATCTCCCTTTCATATACATATGTACATTAGAGTGGTCCAAAATAATAAAGTCGGAATTTTAATGCCGCCACCCCCTAGGATTGTTCTGAACCGAAATTAAATATATACCCCTATTTTTTATTTTGAAATAAAAAAATATTTAGGGAGTGCTCACAGCGCTCAAAGTTTTCCATGTATTTTATATGGGGAAAAAACAAATGTTCGTAAAAATGGTACAAAACTCTTGAAAATCAATATTTTTCAATCGTAAAACTGTGATTCTCTTTAGGAGACTTCAAATATTAATATCCAATTGTTTATTTAACCATTTTTTATGATTAAAGATTTTTTATTGGCCCCCCCCCCCATTGCTTATTCTAGGACCTATAAAATATAGTTACCAAGAAAAAATGGTTAAAGGAACAATTGGGTATTATTACTGGGAATCTCCTGAAGATAAGAAAAGTTTTCCGATCGAAAAATATTGATTTGCAAGAATTCTACACTATTTCTACGAAAAGTTGTTTTTTCCCATATAAAATACATAAAATTTTTTTTATCTAAAAAAAAATAAAAATTGGGGTATATTTTTTGTCGGTATAGAACAATCCTAGGGGGTTGCGGCATTAAAAATGCGACCTTTTTTTTACATACATTTTTGGACCACTTTAATGTACATGGATAGGCCGGATTTCAAATAGTGGTCTGATAAAACCTAAACCAGTATTCCTTGTTGACATAAAGAAACTGAAGGTAATGTTTAATAAATTTAATGGAAAGGAAATTTAGAATAGCAAAAATTTAATAGCTAAATTATTGTAGTTAAGTTCTGATGTGAATTTAGAAGAATCAAACTTTTTTAATGGCTAATATACTTTAGAATTAAGTATTTGAATAAAAAATAAATGCTCAAAAACATTGGGATAGTAAAAGCAAGAAAACAGTCAAAACGATTTTATAAATGAGTGTGTAATTTTGTGTAAGCATGCATTTCCACATTTACATTGAACAGAAAATTCAATAAATAAAATGAAGCTGATTCTAATGAGATTTTAAAGCTGATGCCACACAAAAAGTTTGCTTCGCTTTACGTGACAGATTCGCTTTGACAGCTAAGATGAATTGTATGAAAATGCACAAAGCATGCCACATAGATCATTGAAGCTGCAGCGCGAAGCGAAAAGATGGCCAACTCCCATCTTTTTGCGCGCTTTGACAATCAGCCGGTTTAATATTTATTTTGTTTCGTCCAAATTCGAGTATTCATGCTGAAACATAAAACTCAATTACATTGCTGATAATTTTAAAGCAAAATATCTTAAATCCACAGCAATTTTGACGAGTAAAAAAGCAGTGCAAAATTGTTTTCTTGGCTTTCATTGTGGCATACCTTTTGCGTCTGGCGCTTTGCTGGCAAATTTATAAATGTCACGCAAAGCTACAAAGTTTTATCTGGCATCAGCTTAAATATTTCCATATTTACAAAAACTTTCATTTCAAAGATGTAGAGTTCTATCAAATATGGTAAATGCATAACAAACGGTTAATTTCTTTGTTTACATTTTTTGACATTACAGTCAGGTATGAGAGAGCTCGACTGAATTGTCACTTCTACCTTGTTGAATATGCCTTGGATTTATCCATTCAGATTTAATAAATCCAGTTGCTAAATCACACCGCCTCCATTACCACAACGAGATATGTTTGACGTTCACATTTTTAAATATTTGACGTGTGCTTATGTATGATTTTATAAATACAGTTGCGGACATTGATATACAGACAAATAAGAGGAAGGTACCAAGCGGAATTTCATTATAGGAATTCTGAATATTATTGGCTTCTTATTCTTGGTAAATATGTATGTATAATATATAGTTTGGAAAGTGTAAAGAATGGTACCATATACCGAATCATTTTCCCGAATTTAAGAAAAATTATCAAAACGTTAAAAAACATTTGCGGAAAGAAAAATTTTTGTAGAACTCTTATTCATAGGAGGGAACCGAAAATTCAATCGTTTAACTAAGTTAAGTTGAGTTGGAGAAACCAGCCCTATGTGTTTGTTTAATAATTAAGTTAAATTATATATTTTAATACTCCTTTCGCTAAAGTGCACTTTTACCCGCTTTTTTCAATAAAAATCAATACTTCCAAATATAATGAAAAATTTTCGCGCGATTTTTTATTAAACATTTTCATTATTTATCAAATTATCGATGTACGTTTTCTACATTTGTGTAACACCAGTAAATATTATTTCCCCCCGAAAAAAATTATACCGTTATGATCAGGAGTAAGATCGATCCTAATATTATTATTTTTAATAAGAGCAATGTACGTATTGTACACTTATACCCCTAATTATACGCACTTATTTGTGGTGTATTTTTTTTAACGTATGGTAGCATACATTTTGTGTTACTGTCAGTAATTGTTATTTCTGCTTGTTTGTGAAATGTGCAAACGTTTGTGAAGACATTTATAAACGCGTTTTACATAATTAATTAATTAATAATTGTATATTAAGGTATTACAAACGCGTGCGAACCTTTTAAGGATAATATATTTGTGTAAATAAGTGATAGGTGTGGAGTTATAATAAAATGTGGTGATAGCAGGCGCGATATTTTAACAACAAATAACTTAAGTACTATTAGCACCAACATTGTGAAAGTGGTAAATATAGTTAAAGGAGACCTCCATTAGTATCCCCACCGAGTTTCATAAAAAAATTCACTATACTTTGCACGGAACAGCAATTGGTTCCGTAATGGAAATCTCAGCCTGGAAAAGTTTTTTGTTAATAACTTTTGATCGGGTAAAAACAATTAATTTCCGCTTTCGGATCCTTGTTATTGGAGTCCAGAGGCGTCTAATCCCTACAAGAATTGTGTGATGGAAACTAACCCATTCTCATTTATCTTACTAACACATTTACAAATTTTGCGTTGGTTAAAAAGATACCCCTAAATAAGGTCATAAGTTGGAGGAAGACGGAAGATCACATGTACACAAATGTTTACATCACGTTTTGCATATTGCTCTTAAAAAGTTGATAGAAGTACTTGATTGAGATCTCCATCACCAGTGATTATCACATGATCAATCAAATGACTATCACTGTTCTTGTAGGGATGGTACCACCCCTCCGAAATTTTGACCAATTTTGGGGGTTCAAAGCCCACCTAGATAATTACCTACACAACAACGAAATTTAACAAAAGTTTTTTGTTTATAACTTTTAAATGGTTAATAATATTAGCCCTCCCTCTCCGGATTGTTAATAGGGGGACCGAAACGCGTCGTTTGGTACTCCTCCCGACTTCCGGACCTTTTTTAGGGGTTGTTACACTATACCAGAGAATTACCAAAAAAACGAAACTTTGGATGGGTAACGGGTATTTGGGTGCGGAAGTCACCAAAAGTGTAAATAAAAAAGCAGGCCAGAGAAATACTAGAAGAAGAAGTTGATCGGGAAATGGCAAAAGAAGTAGCCAGTCAGGTTGAGGAGGAAGCTAGCGCGGCTGAGGTGAGTAATAAAGACGAAGTTGGAGAAAAGCAGCAGTTAGCAATAATGATAGCACCGATCTCACGATGGTCGGTTCTACGTTCACCAGATCGACCCGGATACTCCGGACAAGGACCATCACACCAGCACACATCCCCGAATACACAATTTTTTCATCATCGGAGCAGCACTTTCCGGCAACTCTGCTCCGAATTCTCCTCGCCCGCGCCGGAATCGAAAAAAACCCTGGGCCTCACACGTGCAGTGTCTGCGAACTCAGAATTCACGACCGCTCTATATCAGTGCGCTGCACAAATTGCAATCGATGGTGCCATCTCAGACAATGCTCAGGCCTCAACAGTCACAGAGAATGGCAAGCAAACTTCATCGCAGGCGAACCAAACAGCACCCGACAGCAATATGCACCTGGGCAACAAAACACACATAACCTCAACGTATCACACCAAATGCAACATTACTCAGGAATGCAAATGCAAACACATAACCTCGACATATCACACCAAATGCAACATTACACAGCAATGCAAACGCAGACCAGAGGGCAACGTACGCAACCACGTCCGCATGTACATCCCGAAACGCAAGAGCGGCAACAACCCAGCACCACCAACAGGCAAGTCTGGCTGTGTTGTGTATGCAACAACCGCATACATGGTAACGCCACGTCCGTTCAATGCAGTGGCTGTGAAGGATGGTGCGACTTCCGCAATTGTTCAGGCCTAAACAGAGCACGGGATCGCTTACCCAACTATCTGGCTCCCTGCTGCACTGTACCCAACAATAATCAGCAACCACCAACGCCCACTCAGCAAGCTAACCCTACGTATTTGCAACCCCAGACGTCAGTGCGAGCAATTACACAGCAGCCGCACCAGCAACCTGAAAGCCACCACAGACAAAACCAATAACCCCAAACTCGGATCTGGACATACACGGTATGTGCAACCCAGATCCGCGCCAACTCAGCATCTGTCCAATGCACTCAGTACAATACAGAAGCGTCACGCCTGCAATCGACAGCGCCGAATGCCAGGGTATAGCCGTTACTTCAGGTCACACAGAACTGAAAATCATCAACGTCTACATTCCACCCATCACCAGTTGGGCGCCAGGATACCGTCCAGATATCAGCCCGCTACTCATCGGAGATAACACGCTGGTGATTGGCGACTTCAATGCGCATCACGAGCTCTGGCACTCCAAACTTGGCAACGACCAACGTGGCATAGCTCTATCAGAGCAAATCGATGACTCAACCTTCTGCTGCCTGAATGATGATGGCCCAACGAGACTCACAGGCACTTGCAGCAGCTCGCCTGACTTATCCATCGCAAGTGCAAACTTAATCAACTGCACCACATGGCGAGCCATGATCTCGTTGTCCTCTGACCACCTACCCGTCATACTATCTATCGACCGCCCCAGCGACTTTATAGTCTCCGAGCGCCGTACATATGTAAACCTCAAAAAGGCCAACTGGGACGACTTCAGAGACTACGTGAATGCCCACTTAGGTGCCCTACCAAGTCCACCTGATGCTCGCATAGCTGAGCGCAATTTCCGCACAGTCCTAAACGCGGCAGCTGCCCGCTTCATCCCAGCCGGACGTATACCGGAGATCCGACCAGGCTTTCCGACCGAAGCGGCAAGACTTTCTGACGTCCGAGACCGAACCAGGCGAGCCAATCCCGAAGATCCTAGCATCAAGGATCTCAACGTTGAGATCAAGCGCCACGTAAACAACCACAAGCGGAACAAATGGTGGGAGCACCTCAAATCATGCAACCTTCAAGAGGGCGTAAGCAAGCTGTGGTCCACAGTAAAATCCCTCTCGAACCCGACGAAGTACAATGACCACACAGCCATCAAATTTGGCAACGAAATTCACACCGACTCCAAGAAGTGCGCGCGTGAATTTTGCCGACAATTTATTGCCCACCCTGCGAGGAGCATAACCCAACGCAGCATACTCCGCAAAGCACACAACATCCGAGCAACTGACACACCATCAACATTCACACCCAACGAAGTACAAGGCACGATCCGCAAGGCCAAGGCATCGAAATCAGCCGGCCCAGATGGCATCTCCATGCTGATGCTAAAGCAATTGGATGCCTCGGGAGTCGAATACCTCACCAAACTTTTAAACGCCTCACTAGCCACACACACCATCCCAGAGATATGGAAAAACGGGCGAGTAATCCCCCTGCAAAAACCTGGGAGGAACGCAGAGTTAGGTGAATCCTACAGACCGATCACACTCCTCTCTCCGGCGGCCAAAACCCTAGAAGCGCTACTCCTCCCGCAACTGACTCAACACCTGCATCTTGCCTCACATCAGCATGGATTCAGGAAGCTACACAGCACCACCACTGCACTAAACACCATCACAGCGCAAATAACTGATGGTTTAAACCAAAATCGTCCCTGCGCCCGCAACAATCTAGTGGCACTAGACCTATCAAAGGCCTTCGATACCGTCAACCATGCAATACTTATAGAGGACATCATATCGTCCTCCCTACCGCCGCACACAAAACGTTGGATTGTTAGTTACCTCTGCGGGAGGCAATCATCTGTATTATTCAGAAACACAACATCAAACCCACGTAGGATGCACCACAAGGTGGGGTACTATCACCGATCCTGTTTAACCTATATCTAGCGAAACTCCCCCATCCACCACAGGGAGTCTCCTTAGTGTCATACGCAGATGACTGTTCCATCATGGCAACGGGCAACGACATCGACGGCATGTGCACACTGCTCAACCGCGACCTCGAGGACCTATCCGGATTTTTAACAGCGCGCAGCTTACAAATCTCGGCCGCCAAGTCAACAGCTACACTCTTCATCACGTGGACAAAAGAGGTGAGGCTCGAACTGAACGTGTTCGTTGGCGGAGTCAAGATTCCGACAGTCAACCACCCAAAGATACTAGGCGTCACGTTCGACAGTCTCATGTCCTTCGCAGCACACACCACCACAGTTTGCAACAAACTGCGAAGCAGAGATAAAGTCCTCAAGTCGCTCGCCAGCAGCACTTGGGGAAAAGATAAGGAAACTCTGCTCGTGACATACAAAGCGATCGGCCGGTCCGTTGCAAACTATGCCGCCCCAGTGTGGACAGCAGGCACGAGTGACACGCAGTGGAAAAACCTTCAGATTTGCCAAAACGCCGTTCTACGAACCGCGACAGGGTGTCTCCTTATGTCCTCCGAACAACACTTACACGACGAGACTACAATGCTCCGGGTAAGGGATCACAATACGTTGCTGTCAAAACAGTTCCTGCTAGGCTGTCACAGAACAACTCACCCTAACTACAGCCTGACACAGAGAACTGCACCACAAAGACACGTAAGGAGACACCTGAGCCACCTAGAGGCAGACATCGACCAACAACTTCACTTGCCACTGAGCCGCGAGGCATACGTTGAGGGAATCAATAACCTTCATCGCGAAGCAGTCATCTCCGCAACACGAGGACGCCACGAAAACATAGTCCTCGGTGGCCGGCCGCCTCCCATCGATTTGAGCGAATTCCAACTACCGCGCGAAACAAGAACCACACTGGCGCAACTCAGATCTGGCTGGTGCAGCCGCTTAAACTCTTACAGAACCAGATTAGACCCAGAGATCGCCGACACCTGCCCAGCATGTGGAACTGGTCCACACAACACCGCACACCTGTTCGCATGCCCTACATATCCCACCCATCTGACACCCGAAGCGCTGTGGACTCAACCTATTGAGACTGCTCGCTTCCTGGGCCTAAGGTTGGAGGAGTCAGATGGGGAAGACGAAGATTAATAAACAACCAACCAATTCGGGGACTATGTGCTGCTAACACAACAACAACAATAATGATAGCACAAAAGTGCAGAATGTTTTAGCAGTCACTGTCGCAATTTAGTTAGGTACTGGCAATGTTGAGCCGTCGAAGCCCATGAATGTAGAGAATGTTGGACACATAGATGAGGGGAATGCCGATACGGAAATGCAAGATCTTGGATATAAACGGGAAACGCATCAATTAAACAATGATAAAGAGCACTCGACGAGATTTAAGCGGAGTTGCTTAAACCTCGTAGGGGGGTTGGGTGAAGAGATTTTATAAATAAGCAACCACACCCAGTTGTCGGCAATTCAATAGCGTTTAATTAAAATTCAAAATTCACAATTTACAATTCGAGTTTAACTAGTGTAAGTATTATACAGCAATGTAAGATTTCAAAAGTACAAGAGTAAAAGATGTCGTTCGGTTGGCGGTCGCGAAACTACTGTCGCTTTCGCCTTACAAAAGGGACGTATGTATATATGTACAGACGTAACAAAATGGAATAAAAAAAATTGAGGAATTTTAGAGATCAATAAGGTTGCCGGCTTGCCCATCATGACCATACCGGCCCCCTTGCACCGTTGCAATGTTACGTAAGGCATCCTGTAAATTCTGCAACGACGTCACGGCGGCATTCACTAAAGTATCTAGATGACGGTTCTTATGGACCCGACCGCGGCGCACAGACTTCCTTGCGATGGCAGAAGACGGTTTTGTGATGGTGGTAAGCCGTTGCTGTTTCGCTGCCCTTTTTTGGCTACAATTACATACACGCGTTGTCGCGTTCCTGCGTTGTTGTTCGCCGCGATCCTGAATGGCCTTAGGCACGATTGCACTCCTAAGGCTTCTTCCTTTCTTATCGTTGTGGAGGAGCGTGTGGTGTGCCATCTTACATATGCGGCAGCAGTTTCGAGAAGGGCATTTGGCGGTGGTATGCGAACGTGCCAAACAGTATGCACAATATTTGTGTACTTTGACTGCATCCAACCTTTCCATTGCGTCCATTTTTCTGAAGCTCGGGCAGGCAGAGGATGGAAGCGGCAACAGATTTGGCACTGATATATATCCGGTGATCTGTAAGAACGAACAGTTGAATTAGAATGAGGACACAACTGAAGGGGTTAGGTATCATGGATAGTATATTAGTTCAAAATGGGTGAGTTTTAGAGTGGTAGCGTGGGTTAGTTATGTAAGCTGTATTAATTTAGTGGGGTTTTGATTCATTGAACGGGTAAAACGCAGAGTTTAACAATGGGTCGAGTGTAGATGCCTGTTTGGGTCTTAACATTCCATTCTTGGGGTGGTAGTAGATATCATCATGGATTTGTTTCCATTTATGTCGCTTATGAAGCTCTCGCAAGTATTCATTTTTCCAGCGCCGGCTGAATTCTTGATGCAGAATTTTCACCTTTTGCCATCGGTTTACGAGAGACATGTTTTCGGCAGTCGGTTCGGGTATTGCACGTAATGGGGCGCCTCGAAGAAAATGACCTGGAGTTAGTACTAACAGGTCCGTGGGATCTTCAGACATTGGGGATAAAGGCCTGGAGTTTAAAACTGCCTCTACGCGGACGAGTAGAGTTGTGAATTCTTCGAAGTTGAATTTATGAGGACCGGCAACTTTGGTTAAATCCGTTTTGAAACTTTTTACACCGGACTCCCAGAGGCCACCCATGTGAGGAGCGTGTGGAGGAATGAATTGCCATTCGACGCCTTGGATACTGAAGGTGTTTACAACTTCGGAAGAAACTTGTTCGAGGAAGGCATCAAAGTTTTTGTTCAATGCACGTTGCGCCCCAACGAAAGTTTTGCCATTGTCGGACATCACTTTGGAGGGTAAGCCTCGACGACCCACAAAGCGTGCAAAGGCTGCCAAGAATGCTTCAGTAGATAAATCAGAGCAGATTTCCAAGTGGATGGCTTTCGTTGAGAAGCAAACGAATACGCACACGTACGCTTTGTGATATGGGGCATTTCTGGTTAGTAAACCTTTAACTAGAAATGGGCCTGCAAAATCAACTCCAGTGACAGTAAAGGGAAGTGAGAATTTTACTCTTTCAGGAGGGAGCGCGGCCATTATTTGGGAGCGTACCTTTTGCTTATA